GCCGCGCTGGGATACCCCTCCACTCCTTTCTCCGGGGGTCCCTCGTAGGCGGCCGCGTGAAGGGAGGGGTCGCGGGGGGCTGAGGGGCGGCCGCCGCGCCTCGGTGTGTGGCGGTGCCGGCGTGTGGGGGTGCCGGCAGGCGTTATCCGTGCAGCCAGGGGAAGCGGAGAAGGGGAATTTTAGTCATAATCCTGCGGGGATTAGGGAGGGAGCAGGTGAGGAGCGGAGGGGCGGCGAGCGGCAGGCGGGAGCTGGCTGCTTGGCTGAGGGTGCCTTCAGGTTGGCTGAAAAAAAAAAAAAGTAGCGGGTTTAAAGCGGGCAGGTTCGTGCCCCGCTTTGAAGGAGTTGAGTCTCCTCTCGCCGAGATGGGCTGCCTCAGGGCGGGCTGGCTGGGGAGGGAGCTGCTGGTGGGACCCCGGCTCCTTCTGTCTCTGAGCATCGGCCTTATGGTTGGTGTCGCTCCTTGCCATCTCCTGAGCTTGCTTGAGGTCTTAAAGTTAAAAAAACTCAACTAAACAAAAAAACCCCCTGGTCCTGAAGTACTTGTAAACTCTGAGGCTGACCCTGGTAAGTTGGTACTAAATGTATTGATGTATTTGGGTCAGCTTCTATATAAAATCCCACTGGCTTTAGGGCAGGGTTAAACCCAGCACGTGCTGTTCTCTGGGTCGTTCGGTTTAACTCCTCCGAGTGGTAAAATCGGCTTGTGGGCAGCAAGAAGGGGCGTGTGCTGGTGGCACTGCTTGTCTAATTGGGCTAATGAGCGTCCCCGTGCAGCATACCTGTGCTCAGGGAGAACATCGCTGCGAGCTCAGCTCAGGGCAAGCTGAAACAGTTTTGTGCTGGACCTGGTGCCTGGACCTACTCTTGTTTGATGAGTTAAGCTGCAGCGTGTCTCCATTCTAAATCAAACTTGAGCATTTAATATTGGTGATAATGTTGATGGATAAAATGGTGTGTGTAGCATGACTTCCTAGGGAGTAGGAAGGTGAGGAATAAGGGGTTTTCCTTCAAGAAAGCTTATCTGCTGCTGCAGGTTGGCAAATACCAGGGATTTACTATGTGGCTGTGAGTAAAAGGTCAGTGGTGGTTGTTTCTTTGAGAAAATTAATTTAGGAGACGAAGGTGTAGAAGTATTAGGCATGAAGCTTATTTTGATACCTACACGGAAGAAACTGCTAGCTTTACAAGGCTTTGAGAGCAGATTGCTGCACGCTGTTCCTTTTTCTTCTTCCTTTCTCAGCCAAAGAGACTGTTCCTTATTGTGTTGTAAAGAACATTGTGTGAATGTTGTTGTTTGAATATTTGTGTTGCTCGTCTTTGATTGTAATCCACAACCTGGCTCCAGGCACCTCTGGAAGGTGTACGGAGCGGTGGCCGGGCTCCACAGCAGCCCTCGTGCTGCTTCATCCCCTCACCAAAGGTCTTCCTCAGGGGGCAAGGCGAAGTCCTGACCTGAGAAGATGCCTCCTCCTAAAACATAGCGAAGGCTTATGCTGGCACCGTTCCACTTTGAGGCTTCCTTATATCAAGCTACAAAAGACTTGTTCTCAAGTTCTTATGTGAAAGAGCTCTAATAAAGATCCTGCTGCTCGGTACCACCTTGTTATGTGTGTAAAGCATCAGCTACTGTGTCAACATCTTCCCAAGTGAAAGGCTTTTCAGGCGGAGGAAATGTCACATGCTTTTCTCCCACTTTACTCTGGAAGGGAGGAGGACACACTGCAGTCCTGCAGGGTCCCCTTTTTTTTCTATCTGGAAGTATCAGCTTAGCTGGGTGCCGCAGCTGCCTTTCACATGTTGTAATAGTACTTGAGGAAGTCTGGAAATCTGCTATTTTCAGCAGTTCTTTGTCAAAAACAAAACAAAACAAATTGCTCGGTTGTTCTCTTCCAGCTGACGAGAAGCCACCACAGGTGGGAGATGTTAATAAAGTTGCTTGCTGCCGAGTCTCACCATCCAACAGGCAGCTCTAATGTGGAAGGAGCTGAATGAGTTCATACCAGCCTGGATGAGGAGCAGGGGCTGGGGCCTTTATGTATATTTAATACAGAAACTCAATTTCTGATTTCCAACCATCTGGCTTCATGCTGTTAAATAAGCTTCTCCTACAAATAACAGAACAAAAGTTAAGCATATGGAAAATCCCTTAGGTACATAGTGGATGATTCTAAATAAAATGGAAATGTGTAGTTAATATCCCTGCCTCTCTTCCCTTTGCTCTGTGTGTAGTGATGTGTATTCCTCACGGGAGCCCTCACGGTCTTCAAGCTCGCTAATATGTAAGGGTACCTCTGCATGCTGTGTGTACACCACTTCTTGATAAGAACTCACCTTTTCTCTCAAATGCTACCAAAGTTACAGTGGGGAAATGCGTGTGCCACCAGGGGTTCATATCGCTCAATTCCATATCCCCTTCTGTGCCCTCCTTCCCCTGGTAGCTCAAGCTTATAATTAACTCTCTGCCTTCTAGGGTTTGGTTCATCTGTGACTTGCTGTCTGGGCTGTAGCAAAAGGGGGTGCGTGGGCCAGCTGGACTCTGCAGGGAGCTGCGGGCTGCTGAGCCTCCGTGCTGTCGGCTCTGCCCTCGGCGTGTCACGGGAGGCTGTGTGCAGTGTGGTAGCTGCTGCTGTTTGCTGTGTTCAGGTGTGCAATAATTGAAATACGTCTAATATCTAATCAGGATGGTTAAAGTGATTATTAGCTCAGGACAGGAAGGACCTGAAGGTGTTAGAGCTGGGGCCAGAGGAGGCCATGGAGATGCTGGGAGGGCTGGAGCCCCTCTGCTGGGAGGGGGGGCTGAGAGAGTTGGGAGGGTTCAGCCTGGAGAAGAGAAGGCTCCGGGGAGACCTTGGAGCCCCTTCCAGTCCCTAAAGAAGGGGGGCTCCAGGAAAGCTGGGGAGGGACTCTGGATGAGGGAGGGGAGCCCTAGGAGGAGGGGGAAGGGTTGGACACTGAAAGAGGGGAGATGGAGCTGAGCTGTGGGGAAGAACTTGTTTGGTGTGAGGGTGGTGAGAGCCTGGCCCAGGTTGGCCTGAGAAGCTGTGGCTGCCCCATCCCTGGAGGGGTTCAAGGGCAGGTTGGAGGGGGCTTGGAGCAACGTGGTGTGGTGGGAGGTGTCCCTGCCCAGGGCAGGGGGTGGCACTGGATGGTCTTTAGGGTCCCTTCTCAACCCAAACCATTCTATGATTCTCTGTTGCTTCAATGCATTGACAGTTCTAGTCTCTGAATTTTTACAACCTGCACTGGGCTTGGGCAGCTGAAATTGTGCTCTTCCCTGGTGTCACCCAGTGAATGGCTACAGATCTGCCTCTAGCTGCTGATCGGGCTTTTTAAGTGATGGAGCTGCAGCTGAGTGAGTCACTACTCTTCAGCTGGGCTGCGGTTCCTAATATGTGCTTTTTGCCAGATGCAAATACGATGTCGAGCAGGTAGCCTGGGCCACTGGAGAGGCCGAAGTGGTGTGTTGGATGTTTAAGGAGCCGGCATATCCTGTAGTTGTGGAGTTTCTTTCTGGTTTTCTTTACAAGGTGGTTGAACATAATGTCTTTATAATTTGAGTGTAATACATGAGATTACTTTAAAAAACATGTCTGTCATTTTGGTTCTAAAGCTCTAAGAGGATGCATGTTTTTAGCTAATATGGCCCAGCTGCCCAGAGGTAACTCCTGAGAATGGTTATTGGTGCTAATCATCAGTCTGTACCTGTGTGCACCGAGTAGCTTCCTTTCACTGCCTTTTCTCATTCTTTACCTTTTTCCCCCAGGAGTTAAAGCTGGAGTCCTGCTTGCTTGGACGAGCAGAATGACTGTCTTGCAGCTCTGTTCTGAGAAGGCATAGGAGGTCTGCCACTGCACCTTCCCTCAGGTAAGAAGGGTTTCTGGGGCAGGTGTGAGTTATCAGCTGTCTGTCTTCCACAGCTTCCCATGGGTATAGCGGTCGCTGCCTATTTTTCTCAGACTTCCCTCATCTAGAGAAGCTCAGAGCAGGAAACCCGTGGCAATTGGGTGTTGCAGTGGCTGGGGAGCAACAGATCTGTCCGAGCAGCATGGTTAAGGCTGGATATTAGGAAAAATTTTTTCACTGAAAGGGTTCTCAGCCATTGGAATGGGCTGCCCAGGGAGGTGGTTGAGGCCCCATCCCTGGAGGTGTTCAAAAGCCGGGTTGATGTAGTGCTGGGAGGTCTGGTTTAGTGATGATGTTCCTTGTTTGTTGTGTGGGTGTCTATTTTTGTCAGTTCGGTTGACGGTTGGACAAGATGATCTTTAAGGTCCCTTCCAACCTAGAAGATTCTGTGATTCTGTGAACTACAGCTTATGCCACCCCCTTGTTCTCCTTCTGGTTACTTCATTTCTGGGCTGTGGGTGATTCTGGACTGAGACTCCCTCCTGTGGAGGTCCCTGACCCCCCTCCTCCAGAGGTGCAGGAATTCCTGGTTTAGCAGGCGAGGTCAGGGAGCGAGATCACGGCTAAATATGTTTGAGGAGGCTTCTCTTGCTATATTTGCACTTACTGGGAAGGTTCCTGCACGGCCTAGGTATGGTGCCCGCATAGTCATGTTACAGCCTTGCATTACAAGGTGCCCCGTGCCTCTGGCTCGGGTATCCGATACGTGATAGCCACCCGGCCTCCCCGGCTGTTTGCTTGCCCCTGCTCCACTCGCTGCAGTTCGAGTCGGATGCTCTGCTGATGCATTCTCTCGGCATTTGCCCGTTCTGCCTCCACTGGCTTTTTGTATCAGTAAGGCTCCTGGTGACCCAGCAAGTCCTGAACGTTGCTCCTTGGGTAACGTGACCCTCTGCAGAGTGACTGTCCCATTGTGAGACCCTTCTGCAAAAATTCCCTGTTCTAGAGTACTCAAACTTTTCACAGTCTTTTTCCCCCCCCCTCTCCCTTGCTTAGATTTTACTGTGTAATGGCATTTTGCAGAAGCCTTTCTGAGGGAGAATCTATTGCTGTTTGCCTTTCAATTCGTGTTTCACCTCGGGTTTTGGGCTTAAAATGTCAGCGATAAGTTGACATAATGCTCTGAGTGTGGAGTTCAGCGCTACACTGCGTCATGCTGCCGAGGGCTGTGTCTGCTCAGCAGTGGAATTTGAGTGGGGTGGAATCAGCACAGTGTCTCAAACCAGCCGTCCAGCCTTTTGTGTTTCTGATGCTCGTAGATGGTATTAATGGGAGTGATATAAAAGAACCTAAAGGAACTGCAGAAAGCAGCCTAATAACCTTTTTTTTTAATGGTTTATGGCACTTCCTTGAGATGCTGGTTATTGATGCGTATCTGAGGGTTAACACCCCGGGGAGAGAGTCTGGAGGAGGAATCCTGATGAGAAGAGTGAGAGGTGGCTGGGAGAAATGAAATGCTGAGAACCCAATTGTTCCCATCGCATGCCGCTATTTCCTCAGTTCAGCTGGAAGCAGTGGGCATCCACTCAGTGGGCTGTGATTGCCAGCTTCGCGTCAGGCGTGTTCTCTAAGCATGCTGGTTCCTTTTTCTTTTAGTGGGTTAAAACAACTAAATTCCACTTTGTGCACAAAAGCATTTTAAACACCAAGACACGGGAAGCCGTGGAAGCTTTCAACAAGAGAGGGATTCTGCGTAATGATTACAAATGTAATGCAGAAAAGGGGGGTGAGGGGGAAGAATCACCATTTAAGCTTTGCAAAGCTCCTAAACCAGGCTCCTTCTCCAGAGTACAATTGATTCTGGCTTTACATCTCCGTTTTGTGCTTTAATTATTGTGAGTTTTGTTGGAGCTCTAAGTTGAGTTCACTGCAGTGGTGTTGGGAAGCAGCAAAGGACTCTGTCGTGTGTTGGACACGACGCTGGGCTGGGACTGCAGGGACCTGCCTTTTGTGCTGCCACTGACTCACTGAGTGATGCTGGGCAAGGAGACATATATAATATGTCTCCTCCTCTCTATTTGTGAGAGAGTTAAGGCTTCTAGTAAGGTCTGTTTGAGAAAACTGCCAGAATATATTGTAGTGTTTGGTATAAGGGATCTAAAATTTTCCAATGTCTTTCTATTACAGGTGTGTAGTAAAAATGGTGCAGAAATACCAGTCCCCAGTTCGAGTCTACAAATATCCTTTTGAGCTCGTCATGGCAGTGAGTAACACTCAGCACTTTTACTTCTCCAGCGGCGAAGGGCTGCGACCTCGGGCCAGTGGGAGGTGGGGGGACTGCGGTTTTGGCTACTGTGTCTTTGGCAACATTGTGGGAACAGAGGTTTAGCTGTCGTTATCTTTTTGTCCTTTCTTCGATTTTCCATGAAAAATAAGAATCAACATCTAGGTATTTTAAGAGAGGCAGTTTAGTCATTGGAGGGGAAAAAAACCACACCAACAAAACCCAACCTTCTGTAATTAGTCTTTCACAAGGAAGGAAAAAACTCTGATATTCAGGTAGGCAGGGTTAGTTTGTCTAACGCTGTCTCTGCCTTATCACCAAATGCCAGTCAGTTTAGATTCTCTCTAGATCTGATCCCAATCAGTTTTGTAAGATGTTTGTATTTAGAATTTGATTCTAAATTACGCCGTCCTTATTGATTTGGTTAAAAGCTAGAAGTCTTTGGAAAAGTTATTCTGTATGTTGTTCTTCCTTGTTCACCCTGTGATTGAAATGTTTGGAGATCTCTCTCTAAATTTTGTGATTTCCACAAGGGGCTTGAGGGCTGTAATTAAAGTTCTTTTGCTGGGATGGAGAAAGCTGATGTGACCGTGCTGGCTTCCTTAGGTAGAGTTTAAACACATTTGTGTTATTCTGGACTTTGCTTTTCAAGGTGTCAGTCAAATATCTTTCTGAAAAGTTTGCTCTTTGCATTTCAAGGTCAGCACTGAGCATTTGGGCATTTAGCTGAGACGCTTATAGACTCTTGCAGGGCTTTGTTTTGTAATCTGTTGTGCATTTCAGTCTACACTAGGGATCCCCAAGACTTAGCATTTGCCACTCTTAGCTTGCTGGTTTCTTCACTCTGTTCCCTGCTGAACCAGGACACCAGTATTTGCTGGTTTCTTCACTGTCTCTGTTCCCTGCTGAACCAGGACACCAGTATTTTGGGTCTATTAGGGACTGAGAATGAAAATGGAAATCTATAGCCATTTCAGGAGGTGAAACCATTTCCACAAATGGAAGGGAGAGCTTGATGTAGTACATTGTGTTCATCTTGACAATGTTGCCTCTCCTGGCATTTATTTCCCAGGAATCCAGAAGATTTGTTTTATCCAAAGCAGTCTCCAGTCTTCTATTTCCATAGTTAAAACTGGGGGAGAGATTCTTTGGTCCTAAATGAGAATGATGGACCCGGAAAGTAGCAGCAGTTCCTCAGCTGAGAGCAGGTGCCATTCACTTTGATGCTCTCTAATTATCAAAACAAACACTTTCTTTTTGACAGCTGGGCTCTTCCCCCTGCCAGTTTCCCACCCCCTCTTTTTTTTTTCTCTTTCCAGTCTTACCCAAGTTTGCTGTGTCTGTTAACAGCTAAGCCAGTAACAGGCTGTAGAAGTGCCCCAACCAGTCTGGGGCTGATGTTTGGGGTAAAAAAACTTTTCTGGCCACGTTCTTTGCTCTCTCAGTGTGTCCTGTATCAGAATAAGACCCCAGCACTTGTTATGGGGATACTGGTAGTCTTTGCTCTGTGCATACCTCTCCTCGTTCCTGTTGTCTATATTAGCAGGATAAACCTAACACCAGCTGCCCCGTCACTAGATTGGCTGCTAATATAGGAGGGCTGCCTCTAGACAAATCCTTTGTAAGCTCATTAGCGGAATGCCTAAAGGCCAGGGTTTGATGGGTTTATTTTTTCAAGTGGTTTAGTTTTATTTGCTTTCAGTTTTTCGACATGACAGGACTTAAAACTCCCTGGGATTTCAGGGCTGGGATTGTAAATGTCATCCTTTTGGTGTTCAGCAAACTCGAATTCCCATTACTTTCGCAAAGTTATTAGTCCTCTTTCTTACGAAGATCGAGTTACTTGTCCAGGGTCACCCAAAGGACTGCGTAGTGGAGCAGGGAGCTGAATATAGACCCCTTAGTCCCACTCTAATGTCCCGTGAAAATCACGTGTGCCCAGCGGGATGTGCTTTATTATGCAGACTGGCATTATAAAGCAGAGTTTCGATGGAGTGGCAGCCCGTGCAGGCTGAGCTGGGTGCGGGTTTCCTTGTGGCATTTGATGTGTTCAGATGGAGCTCCCGTTTGCGTGGAGGCAGTGTGGATTTCACAGAGCCGGCGGGTGGGAGCTGTCAGTTGCTGGAAGTTTTTTGCAGGGAGAGTGGGCGTACAGCGAAGCTGTTTTGCTCCTTAGCACGTGGCCTTGCTGTTAATCTGCTTCAGCAGAAACCTGACAGCAGCTTCCTCAGCACTGGGAACCTGATATTCAGCTGCTTTCATCTTTTTTCCCCTCAAATGCTTTGTGTGAGCCTTTGGAGGGCTGAGGTCTTGCCCTGTGGTTAACAGGAGGGAAGCAGAGGTCGTGTGGGTGACCTTGAGACACCTCATCTTATGGGTGTTGAAGAACCCTTCAGTGTGATACACTTGTGCTTGATTCCTCCTCTGTATGATGGGGAGGGTCAGGCTTCTGTGGTCTGTTCAGACCACATCATGAGGCAAGTAGTGTTTGTTAGGAAACGCATTTTTCACCCAGAACCTCCAATGTTTGGACCCCACTTATAGAAAACTGCATGTGCTTCGTTCAGATATGAGGGTCTGAGAAATAGGGTTGTCGTAGCCAGGCGAAGCCAACGAGGCATTTCTTCCCAGCGTTGTTCAACCACAGAGTGTTTCCCAGGCCTTTTGTTGAGCCCTGCCATCAGGAACATGATTTATCTTCCCCGGGCTCGTACAGCGTGCATGTGTGTACAGCTCATCCTCTCGACAGCACGGGCCTCTGCTTGACAGATGAGCCGGTGCTTTTACTCTTAATACCTTTGTTATTGTGTGTCTCTGGATCATTGTCTATGGATTTACACTCTGCTGCTTACTAATACTTGTGCAGCTTGTGTTTTGGCATTGCAGGCAGGGGAATTTGACAGATCTCCCAAGCCCTCAGAAGGAGGACCGCATTCTCCTTCTTGCTCTCTTTGCCAGTCCTGCACATCTGAGGAAATAAAAAGGAATGAGCTTAGCGAGTCCCTTCTGGTTATTCGGGAGTTCTGAATTTTTTTCTTGTTAGAAGGGTCCTCCCTTCTAAAAAGGTTTAAACAAAGGGTGATCTTTCCACACCTATCCAAATTCGCTGGAGTCATCTTCTTTGTTCCTGATCTGCACTCGCATTAAAGGATCAAAACTGTTATGCTCTTCAAATTATAACTGGTGCCTGACATCTTTATCCCTTCTACTTGAAAAGAACCTTGACGTTTGTTATGCTTTGTTATCTTCTCATGTTTTTCCTTTCCATTTTATCTCTTTTTTTTATTTTTTTGGTGTCTCGTTTTAAAGGGAGCTGTTCCCTCGGATGGGTTGTCCGTGCTTCTCTGGGCCTGATCCTGTCTTCTCTTCAATTAGATTAGCAGCTTTGAGATTGCACGTCTCCTGATTTTATTTTACAGCCAAGAAAATCACAAACTATAAAGTTACTTTGTATTTTCTTTGTTTAGTAATTGTAGTTTTAAAGCTAAAAGGTTGGGTTTGGTTGTTTTTTTTTGCTAAAATGTTGTAATGAGGAAAAAAAGTCCTCAGGAGAGGTAATTCTGCCACGTGGCTTATGAGTGCTGAAGTACTCTGTAAATTGTTGTGAGCCTGATGTAGGGAGATGAGAATTTGATTTGGGTGAGCAAGTCCAAAATTCATAGTTGTACAAGAAACAGAGCTAAGAGAGACTGCATATTTAATATTATTTGTTGTCAATGAATTGTTAGGTTAGATGAGACAGTTTTAGCTGGTTAGTTTTAGCTTTGAAAGTAGTAGGGAGTTTTGTTCCCATTAATTTTAGACGTGCACTCAGCCCTTCACGCTTGCAATTGGCATTTGCCATTTTCACAGACTTTATAGCATACACTAAATTTCCTTAGGATGGTTCCTAAAGCTAGAGATCTGAAACAACCCCCCAGGGACTCTTACATGGTCTTTCCTACTCGATGTATAGTGTGAGTTGCTGCAATAGTGGTGTAAATGAGCAACTTCATGAGAGTGCTTCTCTCAGTCATTTGGTTCTCTTGCCACATTTAGAGAGCGCTTCACGTCCAGCTCTTATTGCTCCTGATTACAATCTATGGTTTCTGCTGCGAGCGAGGGGTCTTTCTGCACAGCCTGGGGCCAGGGAAAGGCTGAAGGATGCAGATCCTGAAAAGGAGAATATTCTGCTGGCAGGTTTTATACCTTGAACCAAATCAAACCTTTATCCCTTTATTATATGAGATTTTATCTCTTGTATGAAACGAAAGCTCTGCAAAGCACAACACTAGCAGGTTAAAGGCTGAGTTTAGTTAAAAGCTAAAAGAATATATGAAAAAAACATATAGGTAACCTGACATTTAAGCTTACTGCACACAGGATATCAGCTTTGTTGGCAGCCTTTGAGAGGTTTACTGCAGTTACCTAAAAACATGTCATGGCTTTCAAAAGACAGAACAAAGGTGAGGCATTTGGAAGTTTGCAGCAGCATCAGCTCTCATTGCGTGTTGCACTCCCTGCTTGAGATGAAACTGCTCTTGAGCCCCACATGTGCCCAATGTGAGTCAGTGCTTCTTTCTGCTTGACCTCGTTTCTTGGTGCTGCCCACGGCGTGTGTTGACACATATATGAGCAGCTGAGAGCCTGATCCCTTGAAAATGCACACATGGACAGCAGCAGTGTGTGTTTCACCCTGCCCTGGTTGGGTTGTATTATTCACTCTAGGATGCTTCTGCTTTGTGCAATGCCAGTTTGGGATGGGGAGTGGTTGTTCTGGGGGTGCACGTGTGGTGTAGAGGCATTTTTGATCTCGAGCATCACTCAGACTCTCTAATAGATCTCTTGGGTGGCATCTTATGATTCCTCTGCCTGGGTCTGCAAGTGAAGGCTTGGCCATCTGAGGTCCTGGCCTGCCACCTGTACTTCCAAGCAGCTCTTTTCTGGTTTTACTGGCAACTCAGTGTTCTTTGTATTTAGTTGATCTGGAGTTCTTTAAT